AGCTATCAAATAAATGTACCGAAGCTAAAGTCACGGTGTTGAGATCCATGGAAACGCATTGGAAACCATAGGCCCAGATAATGAGTAATAAAGTAAGTAGACAGGTAAAGACATCTCTGACTGGAGTGGGAAGGAGAAACTCCGGGAGGGTTCAGCTCCCCAACCAGGTTTACAAATAAGTCGAGCAAGGAGCCCCAACCATCTGAGTACAGGGGCTGAACACACATCAGAAGTAGACGCAATGGAGCAGACGTGGCCAGAGCACCTGGAGACCCTCTCGCACATGAGAGCTACTGGCTTGAACACAAACATGCTAATGAGTTTTCCCTACCAGGAGTCAGCACTGATAATAACAACAAAAACGGAACTTGTACACTTCACCATTTACCACCCCCTTCACATCTGTGTTTTCTGCCAATGAAGCTGTTGAGCTAGGTAGTCCTAGCATGTCCTAGGTAAGGAATCTGGAGTTAGGGAACTTGGTGATTCTGATCCGTGATGACAATGCTGGCAGTGATGGTGAAGAGATCACTGTGCACCTTCTGAAGTAAAAGCTGGTCTACATGTGAACTGCCTTCTTCTCTTTCCTGAGATTGGACTCAGTGAATAAATGTTCTTTCTACTTTGTCTTAGTCTTTAAATGATGATATATACTTATATTTTATATATAAGTACACACACACACACACACACACACACACACACACACGCGGCCTCAGGATCTTTGAATGTAACCTTACCTTCCTTTCCCCAAAGCAACAAAAGGAACAGAATCCTATTCATTTACATAATCCCCAAAGGGACTTGTTTCTATTTACAGGTCATAGACTAAAGCATTCATTAGAATATACATCGCTCTACTATTGAAACAAATAATCAAATGGGTCTACTGTATTTTGTAAACGGTGAAGTATATAAGTAACATGGGTACTGAGAATGTAATTGATGCAAATAATCTGTATGCTAAAAATATCTCTGTTCATGTGAAAGGATAGGCTATCGTTACTTGGAGAAGACTTCTGAAAGACATTCAATTCTAAAGGGTTGGTCATCAATAACGGGCTGAAAAGTATGTTTTCTCTCTTTATTCTGGTTTTGGTGGAAGCGTTTAGTGTGACAAAGCTTGCACATTAATTTGCTGACAGTCTTGTTCTGAATTCTGCTGTCTCCCCACCTATCCAACATGAACTACAAACTACAGGAGAGGGCTCTGTAAATACCATGCAGTAGAAAACCACATGTTCGACATCAGTGCTGAATTTTTTGTTCTGGGCCACGGAGAGGCTACCCATCGGTGCATAAAGGTCTGTCCACCTGGCCTTTTGGATCATAGTTCAGGCACACAATTAATTCATTATGAGGTAAGTCACTGCTTGCTTTTGAACTAGTCTTTCCTGCTTCAGAGGTGAATGTCCAGTCACTGACCTGAAGAAATACTTCTACCCTTTCAAACTCCATTAAATCACATTTCCTTCTGTATTTTTTTTTTTAGTGTTGAGGGTGGTGGGGGGTGGGAAGGCTTGCAGTGAAATAATATGTTTAACAATTTAATGGAAAATTGGGCATCTAAAGAGATACTTCTGTCAGTAAAGAGTTTAGGAATATAGATTAAAACTATATTAATGGACTTCTAAAACTTACATTCTCCTATACATATATTTTTTTGAAATGTAAAGATAAATTTCACAATCTAGGACACACAATGTCATTCAGTCAATATCAGTCAATGAAATTATTGTTTTTTTCATTTATTTTTAATCTTACAGATATCTATCTATTTCTTGGTTGTTCTTACACATTATACTAAGTCCTAAAAGAACAAGTACAGTGAACCCTCGTTTATCGCGGTTAATCGGTTCTAGACCCTACCGTGATAAATGAAATTCCGTGAAATAGGATTCCTTATTTGTAAATCAAATATTTTCGTAGCTAGAGCATAGAGGACATGAAAAAACACCCTCTAGTAACCATCACACTCGTATTACCCAATTTATTAAACGAAAAAGGGAAAATACAGTAAAACATTTTGGACGTTACAATTATCATTTATTATTTATTATATTATTTATGGCATCAAGCGTGTACAGTATGAGCCAATCAGTGGCAGTAATGACAGCATGCGCTGTTACGCAAAAACCGCGATAGAGTGAAGCCGCGGAAGTCAAAGCGCGAAGTGGCGAGGGTTCACTGTACACGTATTTATAATGAACTTATATCTATCTATCTTTATCCTGGGTAACCATAGTACCCCTTCCTTACAACTGAAGGTAACCACAATGCTAAATTGTGTGTTGATCACTACGTACTTGTGTGTCAGTTTCGCTTTCCAATCCAGATGTTTTAGACTCGCCACAATAACTGAGAATCCATTCTTTAAAAAGGAGATATAATTGAAGTCCAAAGTGTTTTGGAACTATTTGTGCCAAGTTGTTATTTTCTAGATATTGATTAAAGAGATAGCTATAGCTGATGAAAAATAGAGAGGCAATGGCCCTTAATAAAAGTACAAACATGGGTCTAATAATCCTATTTACAATTTTAGCTGTGAATGTACGTGAAGTATTTGGCTAATCTGGTATCCTCCTTTAGAAACAATATTGACCAAGAGAACGAGGGTCAAGAGGATGGGAAGAAACAAGGAGTAGATGAAGAGATGGACAGGCTGTATCTGCTGTTCTTCAAATTGTTGAAAGATGGTCCAGAGTTAAGAGTTGATGTTGATGTTGTTAGAGGCCCAGAAATCGGTTCCAACTCATCGTGGCCCTGTGTACACCCGAAGAAACCTGCCGGCCTCACCATTACTGCTGCTGGAGCCCGCTCGGGCGTCACTGTGTCAGCCCAGTTCCCTGGGGCTCTTTCGCTTTTTCATTCCCTTCTATTTTACCAAGCAGAACACTCTTTCACAAGCACTGCTTTCTCCTAATAATACATCCGAAGTAGATGTTCCGCTGACAATTGTTTGAGGCACAAATATGAAAATTAGAGTGAGGGTGTCTTCCTCTAGAGAAGATTTACACTTGTGTTTCCCAAACACCTGGAGACACAACAAAGCCGAGGCCCCTTTAAACAACTTCACAAGAGATTTCGCTCCTTACCATGCTGAGCGCCAAGATCACTCTGTGAGCCGGAGGAATAGGGAGGGAGGAGAGAACCCATTCGGGGGCGAGCCTGTGCACCTTTGGTTTCCCCACTTAGTATCTGGAGAGTGAGCTATCAGAGGCCCATCCTTGGTCAGTACAGGGCTTGGTGTGGTACCTCCTGGGCTCATGACGTCATACCAATCAAAGCTCAAAACTTAAGTATGTAGATTTCACCAGAAAATATATACACACAGAGATATACATTGTTTATGTATTACATCATATACGGTTTATCACATATACATATTTCCCCAGTGTCTTCAGTTTTTATCTCTTTCACTTCTGCATTCATTTTTATTTGGTTTTATAGTTTTCTAATGTGTAAATACGTCATTGTGTGTAAATAAGATTACAAAGAAATAGATTTATGCAAAATGTAAGGAAGGCCTTTGTGAAAACTCAGTAAGACTAGCTGTCCAAAATGCAATTGGCTGTCTCAAGATAGAGTGGAAGTGTTTGAGGAAGGCCGAATAGGAGTAAAAGTTGAATATTCACAGCTTGTGAAAGCTGTGGCTGTAATCTAAAAAGCAGTCACTTTTAGTCTTAAGGTTTTATGAAAAGAAAGAAAAGAAGAGAAAAGGAGACGAAGAAGAATGTCGCAGTGAGACATTCTTCTACCAGCTCTTCTGTGGAGGAGCGGGGTGGAGGAGGCAACGATGATTTACTTCAACACATCTGATTCCTGAAGAGTGGTGGCTCAGACAGTTGTTTCTGTTTAGCCCATGCAGAAACTACTTAGCCAAATGTTTGCAGACTCCTCATTGGTTGATATAAATCATTTTCTACTTTAGGCATAGATCATTCTTCAAGGACAGGGCTCTTTTCTTGTTCATCTTTAATTACCATTGCCAGGCAAAACAAGTGTCCCACAGTAGGTATTCAGTAAACATTCATCAGAGTTCTAAGGAGCCATGGTGGAACGATAGGGCAGGCATCAGACTGCTAAAGGCCAAGGCTCGTGCCTCGAAGCAATGAGCCACTCTAAGCGAGAAGAGGAGGCTTTCTGCTACCACAGAGTGTCCGCCTCAAACCTTCTGTACAGGATCAGGAGTTAGAACTGATTTGATGGCAGTGAGCTTGCATTGTTTGTTTGGTTTTCGTTCCTCAGCTATATCCACCCATGTCATTACTCTTCAGATGAAATGAATAAGAAGACATTTTCTAGATTATCCTGGGAGGCCTGCGTGTAGTTGGGATTACTTATTGATTGCCTAATGAGTAAACTCTATCCTATTTTAAAAAAAAGAATAATTTATAAATTATCAAGGGGGCATGGGGGAGGGGGACTGGGGGGGGGGGGTGTCAGGAGCTGATGCCAGGGGCTCAAGTCGAAAGAAAATGTTTTGAAATCATTAGGTACGATGTTTCTTTGGAGGAGGATAAAAATGTTCTCCATTACAGTGGTGGTTGGGCCACCCTGTAGGTATATTGAAAAGTATTGAATTATTCATTTTAAACAAATGAATTCTATGGAAATATAAATTATATCTCAATAAAGCTATGTTTAAAAAAAAGATGTGTTTGACAATATGGATATATGTATGGATTGTGATAAGAGCTGTAAGAGCTCTTTTAAATAAATAAAAAAACAGATCCACTGGGCGGCACAACTGTCTAGCATTTTATATGTAGGGTCACGGAGAATGCTTTCATTGGCGATTTTATCTTGGTCTTGATCATACTATGATGGTCATCTCAACTTTATACATAAGATTAGGCTTAATTAATTCTGAATATTGAAAATCTATAATAAAATAATGAGATTAGATGGCTTAAATCTTCAATTAAAAATATAACTCTTCATGAGGTAGTTATCAAATAAGTTAATTTTTAAAGGGGTAAAAATCATAAAGGTCTTACCTCAGCATGAGGAGTAGGTGGTAAAACTGTGGTCTCATTTTCAGTGACATTTCCGGTTGGCCCATTGTTTGGTGAACTGGGACCAGACCCTGGAGAACTGCTACTAACTGAGGATTCTGAAAAACATCATGAAGTTCAAATTTATTTATGAACCACATACCAAGATGAACTTCAGTTCAAGTTAATAATATACAGCTTATTAGGCATTTTGATCTTTTTCATATGTAAACGGCAAGCACTATTCACTAAATACCAGCAAGTACGGAAATCACTACAGCATTTCTGCATTTTCATAGCACTTTCCCCTGCGTCCACGCTAAACAGAAACCACACAGTATTCAATAGTTCCCATGGAAGAGCAGATACAGAGTTGAAGTGTGGTACCAATGCCTAAGTAGGGGAAGCAAGAGTAGGAAAAGAGGCTTCTCTTACTTAGTGGTAAATTTGAAATGCCACCACCACCAACTAAAATCCCATAGAAATGACGTACTCAGTCTAAGTCAGAAAAATATACCATTACCCCCTAAGGCCCTGACATAGTCCTGGAGTGATTACCAAAAACGGTTAAATGTGCTATAAACTGCACTGAAGTTGAAATACTAAGGCTATTTCTCATGACAGCTCATCTTAGTTAGAGATGAAGGATAAAATATGGTAGACTATGAGAGCCTGCAAGTGCACTGGTGGCCTTGTATATCAACGGATATAAGCCTGCTCAATTTCATTTCCAGAAGATGTGATGTTGTCCAGATTTAATATGCAAAGTGCCAGACACCAATATGACAAGAACAAACTTCATTTAGTCAAATTTTGTTAAACATGAAACAGATTATCCAGTTCGTGTCTTATATTTCAACTTCTGAAGGGGCTAATGTGTTTACTAAAGCAATTAATTAATCAAAACACAAGTCATCTTATCAAGCCTTGGCCAATTATTGATTCACCTCTAATAATTTCCTTATCACATGCCTCTTATTATGATCCAGTTGTTTCTTTCTTAAATCTTGTTAACCCAACCTGCTACAAATGATCTTTCCTCATATTTCTCAGAGATCTAGGGCTTTTCACATGATTTCCCTCAGTGACTTTTCCTTTTTACCTCAGGATTGTCCACATTCTTGCTCATCAAAAGCACTTCTCTCTCTGCTTCAGGGCCAGCAGGCATCCCCTGGTGGACGGGCTCCTGTTTTTACACTTGTTTCTGGATCTCACTGCATGGATTGTCTTGAACCACCCTGTTGGCCTTCTTCATAGAGAAGCATACTTATAATTCCCGAGCAGTGACATGCTCTCACAGTGTCCTTCAGTCCTAAGTATTTGGCTTCCCCACAAGCACATAACAGTTCTCCCAAACACCACCAGATTGGAAGGCCTTTTCCACAGCAACGTTCTACACCTCTTTTGTTTGTCTTCTTATCTGACTTCGACCACTTCTTCAATTCACCAGGGTTTGTGGCCATGGCCAATTTTGATCTTTCTCCGCTAAAAGTGATTCAACATTGCGATAGCAATGGTCATTTCCAGGCAGATAATTCTTGTGAAATTGATATTCCTCCCTTTTAATCCTAATCCTGACCTCCTCTGAATTGTTGGAAATACGTGGTCAGCTGTTGCATCCGATACAAAGTGCACCCCGTGTCCGCCTGTTCATTTTACCACCTGCCACTCTCTTTCTCTTTCTTCTGAAGGAAGGAAGGAAGGAATAGAGTCATTGAATTTCTTATTTGCTTTTCTCACATCTATTTTCAAGTCCAGTCATCTCAATCGAATGCTCCATGATGTCCTTATGGACCGTAGCAAAAGTCTCCTCACATTTCTGAGTTGCTGCAAAAGACATCCTGGATGGTTCCCACCGAGGCCTCTTCCCCCTTGTTGCTGTGCTTCGAAGCAGAACTCAGCATCAGCGCCAGTGTGTTGCTCTGAACTGGCGTCACACCTCAAGGGCACACGACATCGTCCTTCCTGTCTGCGCTCCGCTCCGTCAAATCAAATCACCTACTCTGAAGTAACTGCCAGACACGTGCCCACTTCGTGCTTTTTCATCTCCCTTCCTCCACCTGAAGTCCCTTAACTAGAAGTTCAATCCCAGGTTTAAACACAAAGTCTGACTCTGAGTCACCGGCTATGTTTTTGTCAGGGAATCAGAAATCCAAATTTCCATGTGATGGTTTAGGGCCTCCCTTGGAACCCCTATGGTATTTTCCTAAAATATTTTTCTGCTGAAGAGAACGTCCACGGAAAGACGTTCAGAGGGGTCATCCTACCCACATCCTGCTTGAACATGTGATTGAGATCAGAGAATGCTAAAGCACCTCTGGTTCACGGCCTTCCTCTCTGTGTGTCTTGCTGATATTTTTATTAATCTGCTTTGTAAAAAGCAATCATTGCCTCTTTTTACTTTACTTTTTCTTTTAACTCATAAAATGCACACTTAAATAACAACAAAAACCCTTGGAAGAGCTTTTTTCCTCCCTGACTCTATGCTGTTTTTTCAATTTGATACAGTTCTGATTTTTTTTTCAGAATATAATATCTCATATCCATAGCTCATGTTTTAAAAACAATTTTTCTAGGAAATTTCTGTCTCATCCACTCTCCATTCAACTTGGAGAGCAGACTAGAAGCGCTCCTTGGAGTCTCCAAGACTCATCTTTTCAGAAGAACACAGATACCCCTCCCTTTCGCCCATGGAGCAGTTGCTGGGTTAAAACCAGTGACCTTTAGGTTAGCATCTGACAATTTAGCCACTGTATCACTAGTGCTCCTTAGTAGAATATGTGATTCAATTATTTTATGAACTAGTTAGATAATTTTTTAATGTAGCAGTCACTGTGATAACCAATCAGAATTCAGGGAAACAGATTATTCCATGCCATCACACCAGATATAATCTGGTGGGAACTATCAATAATTTCCATGGAGCGCTATGAAAAACTTAAAGAATAAGTGGTACTGAAGGGCTTGGAGCATGAAGAAAGAGGTCAAGAAATAACAAAGTGGAGGATACAGTAGAGGAGATGTTGCTAACCCAGGGATGCTCCTATCATTTTGGAAGCCTTCAAGGTGGGCTGAGAAAGGAATAGCAGTGACTATTTAACTGCTATGATGGTCACTGTCAAGTTGTTGCAAAGTATATTGAAATTCAAACCGAGTTCCTGTCCATGACATGAAAGTCGGAAGACAAAGGGAAATGAGCTCATGTGAAGACCATTGTGTTTCTGGAACTCCACAGCGCTTCAGAGACAGTGGCACTAACTGTATCACATCGACTGAAAATACCTGCCAGTTTTCCCGAGTCCCAACTCATTGACCAGCAATGTGCCCCTCACAAAGGCATAGTCTCTCTTGAATTTGATATCTTTACCTTAGATGAGTTATTATCACATAAAATTAAGATAATGTTTATATTTAACTCTAGTAAAACCCCGATAATTCACAAAGTTTGTAATCAGAAGGAATTATTATTTAGATAGACAAGATGGTCAATTAAATGGCAGTGTAAGAAATAAGAAAAGGTAAGAAACTGGAAATTGTGGGGCAAACATTAATTATGAAGAAAAAAAATTGATCGAAGAATAGAAAAGACATTGGGATACAGAAACAAAACCTTAGATAATAAGATGCTAAAGGGGAGAAAAGGCAGTAAAACAATAGCCATACATATGGTTTTATATGCTCTTCAATGTTTCCTCTAATGAGGACGCCCACATACCCCTTTCCAATTGAAAACGCAACAAAACAAAAAATAATTGCTGAAACCTATTTACCTCAAGACAGTTGATAACATGCACTATATTTTTAGAATCATTATAAACAGGATCACTTCAAAACTCCCATATTCACCATGTACCTTTTATGAAACTTGAGATTTGCTTAAATACAGTACCAACAGCATTGGTGATGCAAGGTTTAATTTGGCTGCTAACCCAGAAGCTCTGGTAGAAAGACTTGGTGACCTATTTTGGTAAAAATGACAGCCGTGAAATAACCTATGAAGCAGTTCTACTCTTGACTTGATTGTACACAACAAGACAGCATTTCTCTAAAATAGAAAAAAATAAATGGTATTTATGAAATAGCTTATAGGCATGAGAAGGTGAATAGGATTACATCCATGAGCATATACAATTTTGACAAAAGATGTGCTGGCAAAAGATATTTCTACATTTGCAATTGTAGAAGATACTTTTAGTTCAGTTTATAGCTGAGCACTTTGAGGGAACGAGTCACTGAGTTTGGGGACTTGGCCATGGCCTCAGAGGTCGTCTCCATCAGTTGCTGTAACGGGACCCACAAAGACAACGCTCTGCATCTACCTGACTGAGTAGTGACTGGAGCTCTAGAAGCTTTCAAATGGCCACCTAAGATGTCCCTAATGGTCCAGCCCTGTCCGGAGCGCAGATGAGTGAAGAAAACCAAACTCAAGAAAACAATTATTGCAAAGGACGAATGAATCATGTGAACTACAACCTCCAAAAGTCTGAGACTAGAACTGGATGATGTCCAGCTACCACGACCAGATGCTCTGAGCAGGATCACCAGATGCTCATGCACGGAGAAGAGCCATGTGGAACCACAATGACAAACATCACACTTTCGGGTCTGCTAGAGACTGATGGACTTCCTGGCACGATGGCCCTTAGATGCCCTTCAAAACTGGAACCGTCTGAACTCATTTCCAGCATTACTTCTCAGCCAAACAGGAGAAAGGCCTACAAAGTGAATGAGTGAGACTGTCACTGTTTACTGGAGTAGAAAGCCCCGTCTTTCTCCCATGGAGCCGCTGGTGGTTTTGAACTGCTGACCATGCAGATGGAAACCCAACATGTAACCACTACACCGCCGGGACTCCTACAAAGTGAAAAATAACATCCTCCGAGAATATATTTCTCAGAGTAACCAACCACACAAGGCCACAAACAATGCTCAAAAGGCCGGAAGGGGCAGAAAAGAGGCATGAATTTAAACAGGAATTTCAGAGAAGTGGGAAGAGCGCTCTTACAATGGAAGATTACAACCTATATCACCAAACAAAATATGCCTAAATTACTGAATGGAAACTAATTTTCTCGGTCAACTTTCACCTCAAACACATTTAAAACGAGAAAGAAATAAAAAAGTTAAAAGGTTTATTTGTTGAAAATATTTGACTAATTCATCTGGATTAGTGAATACATTTAAGAATAGGAAACAAATATAAATGAAGACAATAATTCTACTGAGTTCATTTCCTTAATATTTACTGTGCCTCAAGTCAAAATTGATCTTGTTGTGGTCATTAATACTTCCCTTTAGATAAGCATATTCATATGTCAGATATGAGCTATAGACTAGAAGTATTTTCTTCGAAATAGACTCACACTTTCAATTCCCATCAGTGTTCTTTACGTAAATACTGCACTTCAGGCAACACTGTCCAGCAATACTCTCCATACTGCCTTCCAAACTAGAGACTGTCCTGGCTAAAGGGGATTATGAAAACAACAACAACAAAGAACCAGAATTCACAAAACCTGCGAGGGTTAAGGTCTGATCTTGAAGAAGGAATGTCCATTGGCTGTCTGCATAGCCAATGCAACTGGAGTAAAACAGTTACAGATTATAACTTGTCCTTTATTGATGCAACAACAGCAAAAGGCCAGATACAGTGTCTGGCTCTAAGTACATAACTCAATACACAGTAGTCAGGATTAATATCTTGGCTGGGCTTTTTGGGTCTTGTGTCCTTTGGTCTACTCTAATTTCAGACAAGGCACAACTGGGACTCGGGGAGTTTGTAAGACATCAGGTTGAATTTCCTAACCTGTTCACCCCGCCACTAACCAGGCAGCTAAAAAAATAAGAACTCTTCCAGTTGAGACTAGTGAAAATGACAGTTTCTTTCCCTTCATAAAAGGCAGGATAGCCCCCTCCTGCCACAAGTCCCAACTCACTAGTAAACACATAAAGTCATTTATGAGTTCTGTAAATTTGTTGAAAAGGCAAGGTTTTGCTGTTCCACGAAGCTTAATTTTCCCAGATGTATTTTGTACACGCATGTCGGAGTATAGGGGGAGTGTTCTTCTTGGACCTCCCTCTGCTCATTTCTGATCAAATTTCATTCAAAGTTATATTCTCCTGGTTGGCAGTCCCAAAATGGACTGCCTGTTTCTGAAAAGGCTTAAGGTGAGTTTTGGAATTCCCCAGTTACGCCTTGATCGACACACAGCCCTAGTTTCCATTCATTTCCTGTTGAACACAGTTGGCAAATACATAGCAAGGTTCACTGAACCACTGGTGAGTTTTCAATATCATTTCCTTTCAAAAAATATTTCTCCTCAAAATAACTTTTAATATGCAGCAGGCATATTTATTCTAAACTATTTTGTTTCATAGCTGCTCCCACCATTTGTTAGTGCGACTCTGCCCAGTCCTCAATTACCTGTCACCTCAAACATTCGCTTCTTGAATGAAGTGACAACATTTCCATCCTTCCGCCTGAGTAAGGGGCTGCTTCTCCTCTCTGCAACTTTCTGCTTTAACCTGGACCGCACCTTCAAGTTGGGCTCAGAGGCTGAGGATTGAGACAAAGAGAACAGATAAAAATTAAAAGATAGAGAGCCGATGGCTCCTTTCTCTTGGTCCCTTCTCATCTTTAAATGAGACCCCCAAGCATGTACATAGGCACTGACTCTAAATGAATGAGGCAGACAAATATAGTAATTATTTTTAAGGAACATGTGAAATATTTTCCAACTTAAAATGAACAGAGAGCAAAACTACAGGCTTTCTACGTCTTTTCTCTAACAGAACCGAGCTTGTTAATGGGAAGTTGAATCACTAATTGTGTTTGGGTCACAGAAAGATTTATTAGACTCCATTCCCAGTCCCCTTAATTCTCTCCAGGGAGAAACTCAATAACCTCCCAAACAGGAACGTAATGTGATTTTGGAGACTCTGACCTGACTCCTGGTAATAAGAAGACACCTCTGTGGCAGCTTTTGATTGTCTCTACCATATAATTTATGTTCTATTCTGACTTCCAGAATATTTCTTTGTCAGCAACTTCTAACCTGAAACCCTGGGAAAACATACTCAATGTAAGAGTATGAAACCCTGTGGAGTCATTGCTGAATACACTCCTCTGTATATTCAATATACAATTAATTGAAAGAAAGAATTGCCAACTCTAAAATTAAAGTCTAATGTAAGGTACATGTTTCAAAGTACAAATATACATTATCTTAATCTGTTTATTTTAAAATGCATTTTTAAAAATCAGTGAACATTTAGAGAAACTATTTCATTTATGGACATAACTGAAAGATCTATTGTGCTGCTATTTCTTTGGTTGTGTAATTAGTAATTTCATTAGTTTTTAAGCCATATGGCCTTCAAAAGTTTGTGGAAACTGTAATTAAAACATAATGAATTTTTTTCTTGGACTTTTTAAATTAATACATTAGAAGAAAGGGAATCAATGAATTTTGTATCCGAGTAGTGGAAATATGATAAGGATGGTGATAGTGGTGGTGTTGAAGACAGTATTGATGATAATGATTATGAACAGTATATATGATAACACAGACTTACTCAATGCCTTCAATATTCTAGTATTAGTCTAAGAGTGTTATTAGTGCTGCCTGTTTAACAGTAAAAGAATCACTGTGAGAGACAATATTTATACTTTTATTATATCAAGGAGGAAACCAACACACAGAGAAGTGCTTGCCCAAAGTTACAAAGGTGCAAGAGTCAACTCAAGTTCTGAACCTGTAGTGGGGCTCGTCCTTCTACGAAAGGCTGAAAACACTACTTCTCCAGGTTGTCTCTGTAGACAGCCCATGACAATGGTGAGAGATTTCCTAAACTATCACCATCATCGGCATCAGATACAGTGTTACCGTGTAGCTGGTTTCTTTGTCTTTCTTTTTAAAAACACCATTTTATTGGGGGCTCGTACAACTCTTATCCCAATCCCTACATCCATCCATTGTGCCAAGCACATTGGTTGCCCTCATCATTCTCAAAATATTTGCTTTCTACTTGAGCCCTTGGTGTCAGCTCCTCATTTTTCCTCCTCCCTCCTCGCCAGTCCTCCCTCACAAATGCTAGACAACTTATAAAGAATTATTATTTTGTCATGTCTTATACTGTCCGACATCTCCCTTCACCCACTTTTCTGTTGTCTGTCCCCCAGGGTGGGGGTTATATATAGATCTTTGTGATCGGTTCCCCCTATCTACCCCACTTTCCCCTTCCCCTCCCGGTATCGCCATTCTAATTTTTTGTCCTGAGGGGCTCATCTGTCCTGGATTCCCTGTGTTTTCAGTTCCTATCTGTACCAGTGTACATCCTCTGGTCTAGCCGGATTTACAAGGTAGAATTG